GTTATCGGTTTTCAACCACACTTTCTGTGTAAAAGCTAACAATACTATCCAGTTGCCGAAGAAACATAATTCAAAACTGTAACCCAGTGACTGAAGGCTAAGTGTATTAACCGCTAAGTTACCGCTTATTAGCATATAAAATAAAACACAATATGGGATAAATTCGCTTAAAACGATTTATTCTAAGTACTAAGTTGACTAATGTATAAGTGTGAACACAATACATAAAAGGTAAATATTTCTAACAAATTCTTAGGTGGATTCACATAACTCAGAGAAGTTCATGAGAAATACTATGAAGAATAAAATAAAAAATATATTGAAGAGCTTTAGGTAGTGTTGAGTTCTCAGAGCTAGATGGCTTAATTGCTGAGCTTTCATTGTCCTGCTGGACAACCTCTTCAGTGCCTACTTCGTGTACAACTTTAACAGCAAATTTAATACTTAGTAAACAACGTAACTGTAAGCATAAAGAATTTCACTTTATAGAATAACTGGTTAGTAGTGATATACATTGGCAAGAAATATTAGAGAATCTATGGTGATTTTTCAGAGGAACACGATTTAACTTGACGATTCTAACACGAAACAATGAAGCACTTAGAAATAAACAGAGAGTGCAGGTACTTTATTCTGTTTTGCAAGTCGTTAACTGCAAAACATCACTAATATTTAATGGGACTGAATTATATTAGCAAGATGTTAATGTAAGTGAATAGATGTGTGGATTTCTGAGAAATGTCGAATCATAACAACACAGTCAAACGGAGCAATTTTTCAATTTCTTAATTATGATTAAACAATCCATATACATTGAATTCTATGAAAACAACAGTGAAATATTAGAACTACATTGAAATCACGAGCCGATCAATGTTAGACCACCCTTGAAAACCTGGAAGCACCGTTTCATCCTAGTATGGAACTGTCTAGTAGTGAGCATCCACGAGTCCGCGATCTTCGGTCTCGCGTACGAACACTTAACCTCTAGACCAGTGAGTCACCATCCAACGGTGCTAATGCTTATTGAATCCACGATATTGATCTACCATCTTTAAATGTCTTCGGTGGATAACTGCCTCACACTTGACGCAGTTGAGGAGCCGTGAACAGTGATCAAGAGATTAAACGTCCGCGTGCGAGTTCGAGGATCCTAGGTTCGATTCGCGAATGTGAGGTTGTGGATACACACTGCTTAGAAGTTCCATGTTAGGATGAAACAGTCGTCCAGTGATTCCGGAAATACAAATGGTGGTCTAAAATCGATTGGTTCGTGATTTTTATAGAATTCAACAATCTCCGCAACACTATGTTGATAATTCACACTACACTTTAGATCTTTGAAAATAAACACTACATATTCAGGCTACATAAAGAAAAAATTCATTCATTCCATATTATTATTACCTCTCATGAATACGTTGATTCACTACAACAGTTAATGGATTAAATGCCGGTAGAACTATATCAAATTTCGATCTGAACGTTAAACTTGTATGACTAGCACTGGCAACAACAGCTGAAGCTGTATATTTTAATTTTTCATTTGAAAGAAAATTAATAATTAAATGATTTTTCCCTTCGTTCCAGCTTGAGTAAATGAAACAAACAAAATAAAAACACAAAAATGATTATGATAATTTCTATGAATATTTGTTAACATTTCAACGAAAATTCTGACAAAAATTCAGTGCTGATAATATGGAAGGCGTTATATTTGATGGAATTTCAATGATTGCAGTGTTTCATTCAGAGCTTCTTTAGAGAAATAAACAAAATCCACTTTGTTATTATCCAAATCTATTTATTTAAATGAAAATATTTAACGCAATAGTAAAACGAGCGAGTTGATACAATGACTAAACTCAATGCACATACACTTTGACTACTTTACTCAAAAAGCTCAAACCAGCAGTTGACATGTTAAACACTGAAACTATATGAATTTCAATCTCTTTAATTATCTCAAATATTTTTTTACATATAATGATAATTTCAACTATTGAAATGACTAAAATCTCCACAAAACCCCTTCTGATATAATGATAAACCGAAAAGAAAAAGAAGACAAACCTTGGCAAATGATGTAAATAACGCATAGATAAATCGATTATTTGATTATCATCTGGATAAGCATATAATAAATCTAATCCTGGGATAATAATACATGCTTCTTCAATTTGATTCACATAATATTTACTAGATATAATGGTATTATATAAGGAAATAAATTGTTGACTAAAACTTGTAAACATTAAACTATCATTTAAAGGATAAATATAAATTCTAATATTATGTAATGATTTGTCAATAATTTCACGAACACAATTACTAATATTGAAACATGTAGAATATGTACAATGTTTATTCATATACAAAGGTAATTGATAATATGATTGTTGAAATTTTCTTGTATATTCTTCATTTGAAATAATCATCATATCATACAATGAATTAAAATTGTTATTATTATTATTATAATAAACTATCATTAAGAAAATGATAAAACATATAAGAAAATATTTAAAACAATAAGAACCATTAACATTTGTTAACATCATTAGGGAATTTGTTAAACTTAATAACAAAATACTACCACGACCATACACCCAACAACAACAACAACAACAGAGAATATACGCTTTAATCACAATTAGAATGAATAAAGATCATCAAGATAATCCAGTTGGTCATTTTTTTTCCTAAATTTAAAGTACAAGGATCTCATGGAAGATGTAGGATGATGGAACCTATAAAAAAAATAATAAAAGAAATAAAAAGTACAATTAACCTAACTAACAAGACAAGTAGATTTGGGATTATTGAAAAATAAATATTTGAACTAAGATCAAAGCTTAGCAATTAGTGGGAGGGGAGGTAAAACGTTCAACTTTTAGCCTTTAAGTGATAGATTCAAACTCTATCCCAACTTAGTTCTGTTTGAGCAGCTTATTAGTACTGCTAACTTATAAAAATAGTGTGACTCAACGAATATATACACAAGCCTACACTTAATAGACAAGCTACTACTAGGAAAAATCCAGGTCATCTAATTTTTGTGAACAAATGTTCGTTCATTTTTGTGACAACAATAGATATTACAAGTTTCTTAATTTGTGTTGCTGTACGATCTTGACTAGTCTCCGACTCATTATTACTACTTTAAGTTAGCTAATCTGTTTATTCCAAAGTTCTATTTAGTTGTTGCATATATAGTCATTCCACTTTAACTTGATCTTTGTTAAACATCAGGTTTTCATTTGTACTGCTGTCTTCTTTATGGGTTCCATCAATGGGATTATCGTTAGAGTTTTGTGAGTCAGTTGCTACCTTATCAAGTTCTTCACAGATTCCGTTCGTATAAGAATAACCTCGATTGTCCATTAATGGCGATTACCGTAGACCGAATTGAACAAATCTCAAAATAAAACAGGTACGTCAAGCGAAACTATAATCTATGGACGATCTTTGAGCGAGGCTTAGGTGGCCTTAAGAATATCCATCTACTTACTAGGGTTAAATGAAGGTTGTACATTAATGTGAGCGATTAGAAATCAGGGTTACGAATTAGAGTTACAGTTCTCGTCACGAACTCACTTCAGCTACAATGCCAAAATGCTGTTTATTTGTATGGATAAATGAATCGCTCGTCAAAATTCAAGGTTTGCTATTTTAAATCTTATTGGCTCGCCCATAAATTATAGTCTCGCCTGTACACCATTACTATTATTTATGTCATCAGGACGTTCAAGCAGTGGATTCATGAATGGGAGTCTCTTGTTTCTCAAACTAATTGAACTAGTACCTAAAACTACTTTAAGGTAAAGTGTAAACCAATACTCGACGGTATAATATTTAAAAGAGAACGAGCGATATGACTGCATCTACATGCACTGTATGATAATATCATAGTTAATTCGAACTACAAAAGGGTAAGAATTTTAATAATTGAGCGCATTGAAAGGAAATCAAAAACGTCTTAAAACTAACACCGCAAAAGCATAACAGCCGAAAAATAAAATATTTGTGTGTGAAATAGAAGTACATGGGATGATGATAGAATACCTATGTACATCTTATATGAAATATTACTGTTTCAAACCAATAACTTTCCCTTGATTGCTTTCTAAAAATCATACATAATGAAACAAACGGAGAACTACGTATACAAAGCTTTCTTATGGGATTTCACTTCAGAATGTTGTAAAATGTGTAACATAATTTTCCATAACTAATAACGCAGCGCACCAGATAAATGAAGTAGTCTACATAATCAAATTTTACCCTCACTACTGCTGGTACTAATACAAATGGCTAACGGAACCACTTAAAGAGATGCTACTAGGCTAACTAAGCTTATAAGACTCAGCAAAACTAGATAAAAATTAGCGAACCAAGTATACAAACAATCATTCGGTAATGCGAGTATTTGTGTAATGCTACGCGTAACAACGAGAAAATGATAGTCAAGCTACACTTAAAATTGGGTAAAGTCTGATAGAAATTTTCTTCTTGAAGATAACTCTTCTTATTACCCAAAAGCAACATTTTAAGAACTATTCCATATAAAAAACTCATGCCTTTGTTTATACAGTAACTAATCAAAGCATATTATGACTTAACAGGGTAACTTAAAAGTAAATTTATAAGAAATTATCATGCATTATTTCATTTTGGGTGAAATACCCGCCATTCTTATATATTAGTTTAGTTACGATTATACATTGTCGTAAAAGTTCACTAAGGAACATTTTAATGCCAATCTAATGCTAATACACCAATTAAAAAACAAAACAAAGATCTAACCATTCTTGTACATATATAGTTGTAAGTCAATCCTTATTCGAGTATCAATTACAAAGAAAGAACACAGAAGCAAAATAACGACAACAAATCCTCATCAAACACAAGCTAGCCTAATGAGTGTATGTGCTAATGTCGGTCAACATACATGACCAATGAAATCAAACATAATATTTCCATTTAAAAAAATTAATGATTTCAAAGTAGAAAATATTTTATTGAATAAATATTAATTTACAGATTACAAATTATCAGATGTATTGTAAGAGAGCTTTTTGCGTTTGGATTGATGAACGCATTGATTGATAGATACACAATGTTTACATTGATCGCAATGAAATTTCTTTGCAGGTCTACAACGATTACATTTATCACAGTGTACATAGGTTGGTCCATGCTAGATTAGGATATTGAAATGGAAAATATTCATATAAATACTATATTATTATTTTGAAGTTGATAGGAATTACTCATTAAATATTTTAAAAACATTGGCCACCTATCCGTAAAATAATTAATTCTGCTATAGAGACTAAACGACTGAGAACTACGGCAAGATTATGGTATACTAATGCGCTATCAATATTTCTCAGTGGAAAATGAAGAGAGTATGATTGGGGAATTAGATAAATAATCTATTCACCTGGTACTTGGGTACGAGCCAAACTCAAGGTGTAGTAGCTAGTGATACTACTCAAACTGAAGTGGGAGGAGTGGAGTTCATACTTGGAAATTAGTGGATGAAACTTAAACGCTTAGCCATTGAGTCACCGCCCCACTATTTGAAAATACCAGATAACCTTTTACATAGAATCCTGATACATTAACATTACAAATCAACAAAATTTTATGGTAGTGATACTTTAGTGAGCCAAATTGTGATTACAAGTAATTGTATGAAAGAAGTAAAAGTTATGGACACTGTTCGAAGAACAGTATGAAAAATTATGACCAGATATTTCTCCGTGTGAAACCATTTGGGGTCTGTTAACTTTAAAGAAGTGGAAAAAGATGTGTATACTTACTCAGATGCTTAAATATTACCAGGTCATTAGACAGTTATTTATGTTATAGTAATATTGGATAGTGTCCTTGGATAAAACTCACTTTAGTTGTGCAACGATCACATTTAGGACAGTGTAGATTTGTTATGTGCGAATAACGTTGACAAATTTCACAAAACCTAAATGTCAAGAATAAATCATTGTACTTGAAACCATAATATGAGTTTATAACAAGGAAAAATTTAGTGTTAAGGAGTATTGTATAATCGTTTTTTTCTGGTTTGACAACTGAGAGTGTTATGTACCGATTAATTCTCAACCATAAACTCATGAAGACACAGGAAACCAAAACTAATGGATTATTCTTTGAATCGCTGAGGATTTTTTTAGTTAAACTGATACAAATATATTCACATTTAACCCTAATTGGGTGGTCGTTTTTGTTTGTAATGATGAACGGAAATCCTCCGATGATAACCATACAGAAACCAGATATATATATAGTCTGAGACTAAATAAACATGGGACGACTAATTGGATTTCGGGAGGAGAGAATCTCGGGAAATAAGACATATTAAGACTGGTTATGAGTATTCTACACTTGTTGGTTATGAGTATTTTAATTGAACTTTCATTTTACATCACGTTTCGTAACGTACACATGATTGTTTTCGTCAAGTTGTACTTGCAATACTTACCTCAAAGGCACCTACAGTAGTATGCTACTGGGAGATGTATCAAAAAACTTCGTTAAGTTACTGAGGATTTGAACAAAAACATATTTCATTTTGAGCAACCAAGTATTGTAGCCATAGGACAGAATATTGTGGTTCAGAGTCCGATACACAGACCTATACTCTGGTAGTCACGCCAGATACTACAACGGGGAATCACTTGGTATGGTGCTCATCAAAATTGCTCGCTCTCCTCATTTTTAAGATAAGCTATTACAAGTAAAAAATCATATGATCTCTCGAGATTTCATCGTTTATCTGGATGTCTTCAGGTTAACCTGTATTGCTTAGATGACGTAACTTGTAGCTGAAGTAATAAGAATATAACTCAATTACAAGATGAAGTTTAATGTTCTCGGTTTGAGTTACACCTTACATGTGTGAGGGCTAATGATACTACAGGGATCTCTAGATGAAAGGTAATGATGAAATTAATACAGTGTGACACAGAAACAGCAATAACTGTTTATGTTTATTCTATTGGTTTATTTTCTACAACTTAATGGCTTGCTCGGTTTTACCTTATATCTATCTGTACCTGTATTTACACTTGGTACGCAAAGTTTGCATATTTTTTCTACAGCGAAGAGGCTTCAACTGAAACATTTACGTACCAAGTTGCGTCCTTACGATTATCCAGTCTGCACTTTTGACAATCAACAACAACAAAAAATGTCATTCAGTCTATATACACTAAGTAACTAGGACATACCTGAAACATTTCTCTATTGATTTAGGTGGATGGACCAAAGAAGGAAGTAAACTTGTAAACAAGCGAACAATTGAGTCGCGCCTCTGTCCTCTATTTGAATGATCACCAATTTTATTAGTTAAATCCCTGTGGTTTCGATTATCAGTGATATCACAATCCAGTCTTGAGTGGTTTTCATAAGTGATCTTTACGTGTAATAGTATTAGCAACACTGTTGATTACTTTATAATCCAGCAAGTTTAAAAATGGGGCAATCTTTTGCAGCTTTTTCTCGAAGAAAAACGGGAGAACTAGCAGATATGGAATATCATTTTGATTTAAACTCTTGCAATTATTTTTAGTAACTAAAAGTGTGTAATTATCGTATATTGCACAGTACTTTGGAAGCTTGAAATATACTGTATTATTGAATTGATCTGCTTCACAATTAATGACAATGGTGCAGAGAATGGAGGATCACAAAATATGGAGCATTTATCATCAGGCTTTATATTATCCTTGATGAAATGATGAAAATTTTCTTCTTCCGTTCGACTGAAGAAAAATCCGTTTACCATATTATATCGTGAGAAACGATGTGGATGATAGAAACTAGACTGTGGAAATCAAAAAATAAATGTGCATTTACCAGCCGAATGTCCATATCTAATAAATATGAGTCTAATAATTGTCCTCTATGTATATGCTGAAGTTGGATGAAGTCATGTAGACGTGGTGAACCAATACAGATGACATAGTCTACTGACAGTTTTTGAATGATGGAGTACAGTCGATTCAAAGTGTCTAAAGAAAAAAAATATTGCTATAGGACTTGTGGGTAAGTAAATACAAGACGTACTGCATGAGCCTTAGAATTTTCCAGTGGTTTTAGCAGGTATGATGGCATTCCCAATAGATTATCTGTTAGGTTTTTCCTATACTCGTGCATTTCATGCTTTTGTCCACTCAGTGACAATGAAAACAAACAATCACAAGTGTAACAATAGGCTCTATCTGACTGACTTATCCCGAGAATATCTTCCGATGACCAGTTTCTTAAAGTGCTACTCTGGTACAAGTCCTGTTTCTCACATTCACCTTTATCACGAAATGCCGAACAAGCATAATGAAACGAACGGGAGGTCTGATCAACTATTTTTAACATGGGACCATGTGAACATGTAGGCCCGTCAGCTGGCAGTTCGATTATCTGAGACCTTTTTGGAAATGGAGGTTCCTATAATAGAGAGATAAGCATTGTCATTATGACAAAAATAGAACGAAGTTTGTCGGCTTGAAGCAACACATCTGTTTGTTACTCTTTAAAGGATTACACAGAAACAGAACTAATAAAAGTAGTGAAATAAACTGACAATGGGACCAGTCAATTAGTATGACGTAGTTTATTGTTATCTAGCGAGTGTATTATTCAGTTATACTAAATATATCAGGACGCCACTCAGTTCCCAGTTATCAAAACCAAAACTAAGCAGCCTAATTTAGATTTAGCAAGGTACATGTCAACATTTGGACGTTTTGTGAAACAATATCACTTCTTATTTTAGCGACTCTGACCCCAATTTAAAGCCAGAGTTCACTTAGATCAGAGATTTACATCGAGATAGCAGCTGAAACGACGTATAACACAAAACTATGATATCATCTGTCTGTATTTGGGAAAAGGTGAGAGTATATGTAAGCATTGGCATTTTACTTTAACTAAGAAGCCTTAATAAACACATGTTTAATAAACTTAGCATTAACTACATTATTTTAGATCATGGTTGAAGACAATCTTTTGGGTTAATTGCAATACTAACACTTAACTGTCACCCAAACGTAAATACTACTGAGAACTTCATGTAAAACTTGTTAACAGCTTATTCACCTCATATAAATCAACCGTTTAAATCATATCGAATGGGTAGAAAACTTGGTTGTCCTGGGTAAAATAAAGACAAACGCCTTAAGTGTACTGCAGTATACCTAGGACGTAAGCAAGTTTGTCTATTAAAGTAATTGTTTTGGTATACAATCCTGCTGAATTTCGAGCGAACTTAACAATTCGACGTGTTAATATTGATACAGAATAGACAACTTGAATTTAATTTTGAGGAGGGTTAGGGTATAACTTCGATATATTTCCCCTAGATAGGGAAATTTAGAGGGGAAATCCGCATTGGCTGCCCCAGATTGCCGACCTTCCGAATTTCGGGGGATTTTAACGACGGGGAAATCATAGAAAAACCGCAACAGAAAATCTTGAAGTAAGAATAAATCCCCAAAAATTTTCCCGGTCTACAGTTTTACACAAAACGCGTAAACTATTTTGAGGAAATCGCCGAAACGCTCGAGCGCATTCCTGGTCTTCCGCCACATTTCTTGAGACTGGTGAATAATATGAACTTTTATATGACTGTAGTGAAAAGCCGAGACCGGGTAATTAAGCTGGTGAAAAACTTTCTGCGTTAATTAAGGCTACAATTTGATTATGGTCACCTATAACCACAGACTTTTTCAAAGGAATTTCCATAGTGTACTCCTAAAATCTCGCCTTCTTTTATTTGCCTCTTGATTTTGGGGGAATCTTCGGACTTTCTCCAAAGTCAAATAATGATTCGTAATCTTTCTTAAAATTTGGTGTTTTCCTAAGACCTGGGAAAATTTTGGGTTTTGTACCATTTCACCGAAATTTGGAGCTTGGGTAGTCAGTATGGCAAATGAATTGCATAACCAGAGGATAGCACTGACTAATACCCCTTTCCAAGAACAAACTGGTGCAAGTTTGAGTGTTGTGAAACCGATACTCGCAAACGCACATTCCTTTTCATATTGTCCCTTCAAAAAACAAAGGTAACGCAAACACTTAAATGCAGGACGTCTAATCATTTCGTTCAAGAATTTATGAACGGGTTCAACGGGTTTCCGTGTCTAGTAACGCTGAGTAACTAACACCTTCAGGGAACACCTAAATTTACAGGAGAGGCAGAATTGGAAGAAATATTTGTTAGTTAAAAAATAATGCTAATGAGTTGTGCTGCAGGACCTCGTTAATGTCATAGCTGATCGAAGAAAACTAACGACTGAATGCCATAAGACTGAAGTATGTGGTACTCGGTCATTTCTCAGAACGTTCTATTCTACGTGTGCCTAAATAAAATATTTACGCGGCAAGACTAGATTTTCACTAAGTTTGCCACTCAAGCATTACAGCACAGCTATCAGATTAAGGACAAGAAGGTTGTGTAATAACAGTATAGTGTTATTTAACCTTAGATTAGGAATGTTTACCACCCCCATTTATTCTTTTGAACTCTAGTAGGTCAGTATCTACAAGTGTGCTATTAAAGGATACTTTTGAAGTCACACTATGCATTTCTGCCCACTGGAATTTGCAAAATTTATTTATATTTAAAGGCACGGTCTGTTGGCAATATGGTTTACTTAGTCACAAATGTCCGAAGTTCTCTGGAAAACAAGTTCAAAAGTTTGGTGAAACAAACTCATCTTAGACGGCGAAATTGATGATAATCAATACAACATTTATCATTCAGTCAAATACTTTGTTCTTCAAGCAATAGATCCTAAAGTCAGCCGAAACAGATATCTAAAACGAAGAAATTCGAAGACACGTTGGGAGTGTTACGGGAGAATTGAAGACATTTGGCGGATTTAAACCTTTTGTTGTACATTAATAATTTACTGTGTTTTTGGATGTAATTGTTTTACCTAACTTTTGAACTTGTTGTTTATATCATTATTTCGGACATTTTGGTTCGGTATTTTGGTACACTCTTTGTCTTTGGTTTGGTATTTGGGAGTTTTGCTCCGGGAACCTACAAAATTGAAGGTTTGTTTTGTAATTGTTATAATTATTGTTGTTAGAACGACATTTGGTCGATTACTTGTGAATTACGAATAAATTTGGTATCTAACTTTGGACTTGGTTCTGTTGTTAATTTGGGTTCGTAATTTGCGAGTAGATCGATAGTCCGTACTTCAATAACTGGAACGAGCAAAACTTGGACGTAACATAAAGTTTTTCAATTATTGGTTCTGTGTTCATACCTTGGATTTTCTGGATATTTTGGGTCCAAATTCCTGGTCTTATTGGTCGATTTCTTTTGGATTATTTCGGATTTGTTTTTGTAATTGATTATTTGGAACAACGATAACGATGGAAACACGGAGCAGATGGCTGAAGGAAAATGACGAAATGGATGGTAAATCTTCCAAATCTGTTTTTGGTATGTCTGATGTTAATGATGATAAATGTGATGATATTAGTCTTAATAGTATGTCCTCTAGCCAGTTAAGTACTTCTAGACTAAAGTTAGATAAAGCATTACTGAGGAAAAGGAATTTAGAGAAGAGACTCGAATTAGAACGGCAACTTAAGATGTTAGATCTACAAGAGAAGGTTGATATCGCTGAACTAGAGTGCAAGGCCATCGAGGACGATGAACGATTACCCGTAGATAAATGTGGGATAAATGCTAAAATGGAAAATTATTTGGATTGTGATACTGGATGTAATAATCACTCAGGCGAGGTATGTAACATCTCAAAAGTCGATTGGGTTGGGGAGCTGAAGGACACGTTACATACAATGGTTAGTAACATGGTTTTACCTAAGATCAATATGATGTACTTTGATGGACAACCGGGTCAGTATTACCATTCTGTTAGTCAGTTTAATAGCCTTATAGAAAGTAAATTGTCAGATAAGGGCCAATTGTTGTCGTATTTGTTATATTATTGCAAGGGAAAGGCCAGAACAGCAATTGAATTTTGCGTTTCTTTGCCCAGTGATTTGGGCTATGATAGGGCTAAACGAATTTTGTATGATTTATTTGGTAAAGAACATCTTGTTGCACGAGAACTAATTATTGAGTTATTAAACCATAAACCTATCGGAGGATCGGCTGACGTATTATCTGACTTTGCGATTAAGTTGCGTCATGTATGTATAACGTTGAAGCAAATGGGATATATGTCTGACGTTAATTCTACGGCTAATTTGGAGGTAATAGTTTCATGCCTACCACTAGAATTACAGAATAAGTGGGTGGAAGTCGCCGATAATATCATGATGCATGGGAAGGAGCCGAGCTTTGAAGAATTTGTGGTCTTTGTAGAAGAGAGGGCCAGAATTGCCTGAACCCGTTATGGTAGATTAGTACAGTGTAACTCAAGGTTCGGTAAAAGGAATTCTGAAGGCCAAGCTGATAGGAGATCACGCTTTCATGCAATTAGACGAGACCCAAATAGTATAAAGTAAAACAACATAAGTGCAGTTCGGGAAGAAACATGAGGAATTAGTGAAGGTGTAGTAAAAACGAAAACTATAATAAAATACAAATATTAACAATTCAAATGTAGCCAAAAGTTAACAATGTACAACTAAGAGGATCAATAGGAACAAAGTGCAAGTATATACATGGAGGGATTTTCAGAAACACACAAAGCATTCAAAATGGATCTTACACCGGCCCCCAAAATTCCTCCATATCACACAAGCTACCTTGATGCCTATGGTCATGTTTCATTATGTAGCATATGACACTATAGGAACGAGTAGGACTTACAACAGTACGCCTACTCGACCTACCTACATTAATAACAACAAAGACTAATCCGAAGCTTCAAGGAGATCTGTTTCACTTGTTCTCTGGTGTTCAACAATAACACTCGTGGTATAGACCTAGTCACTCTTCCCCAAACTCCACCCATGCTGTTGGATGAGGGCCTCGCTGACAATTCACTATTTATCTTCTGCTGATTCGACTGCTGCACAAACTTCCTTAACTCAGAAACTGCCCACACGAAGCTTGACGCAATGTCACTGTAAATCTCCGGAGGTTTCCTTCTTCTTCTTCTTCTTCCAATACAACGTAATAAGGCCATTATAAATGAATCAGTAATCAAACTACACATCATTTCAATATGTACTGCCCATGTTTGCAAACAAGTAAACACATATCCATACCCTTTTTCTAATGATCTTCTTATGTGTCCTTGTTCTTTAGGACAATGTCTAATTATCATTTCCGTCACTAAGTGTCGACTGGGTAAAATTACTGGATGTTTAAAAGTATTTGGGAAATCTGAGTATCTTTGTCGACCTCCAACGCAGAGTAACCCATCAAGCATTATCGGTGATAAGCCTTTCAGATCATTGTGACTAACTAACTTACCATTGTTTTTAAATCCACTAAGTATTTCTCCATACACTTCTTTCTGAACCATCAATAAAATTTTACGCTTGGCGATGTCAAGCTCTTTGACCTTTAAACATCCTAAATGAACGGATCCTTCATGACTCGGGGAACGAAGTACCATCAGGAATTCTATGAACCTTCTAAGCCAGGCTATGGCCCTGACTAATTTCAACCACTCGGAGTAATAAGAGAGAATAGGTGACATGTTGTACTTTATACTATTCAAGTTAACCACAGCAGTTTTTCTAAACTCACTATCGTCAGAGAATATTTGTGCGGTCTTATTGAAGGCAAAGTTCGCACGAAACGGCGATGATGTGGCACCAAATGCATGAGTTGTCATTTGAAACTCAGATGGTTCCTTCGATATGTCCCCCTCCTGCCACCACAGAAATCTTGAAGCTCCTCGACCAGACTTAGGGAACTTCACTTGCATCAACATTTCTTCAACATCTGCAGGGATTGCAACTGTCTCCTTGCAAAAACTTAATAATATGCACATTAACTCAGCAGTGGTATCGTGTTCTTGATAAATCATATCATTCATGGAAACCCCTGCAAACTCGGCGGCACAATCAAGGACCACTCTAAGTTCTTCTGGTTTCTTCATGTTTAACACTGCATGATAAGGTAAATACCCTCGAGGGCGATAATTAGGCTGCAAATATATTTCAAGAACCCTCTGTTACGGGAGAATTGAACACATTTGGCGGATTAAAACCTTTTGTTGTAAATTAATAATTTACTGGGTTTTTGGATGTAATTGTTTTACTAATCTTTTTAACTTGTTTGTTTGTATCATTATTTCGGACATTTTGGTTTGGTATTTTGGTACACTCTTTGTCATTGGTTTGGTATTTGGGTGTTTTGCTGCGGGAAACTACAAAATTGAAGGTTTGATTTGTAATTGTTATGATTATTGTTGTGAGAACGAAATTTGGTGGATTACTTTTGAATTACGAATAAATTTGGTATCTAAATTGGGACCTGGTTCTTTTGTTAATTTGGGTTCGTAATTTGAGAGTAGACCGATAGTCCGTACTTCAATAACTGGAACGATCAAAACTGGGACGTAACATAAAGTTCTTCAATTTTGGTTCTGTGTTCATACCTTGGATTTTCTGGATATTTTGGGTCCAAATTCCTATTCTTATTTGTCGATTTCGTTTGGATTAATTCGGATTTGTTTTGGTAATTGATTATTTGGAACAACAAATACGATGGAAACACGGAGCAAACGGCTGAAGGAAAATGACGAAATGGATGGTAAAATTCCTAAAGCTGTTTGTGGTATGTAACATCTCAAATATCGATTGGGTTGAGGAACTGAAGGACACGTTACATACAATGGTTAGTAACATGGTTTTACCTAAGATCGATATGATGTACTTTGATGGGCAACCGGGTCAGTATTAACGTTTCATTAGTCAGTTTAATAACCTTATAGAGAGTAAATTGTCAGATAAGTGCCAATTGTTGTTGTATTTGTTATATTATTGTAAGGGAAAGGCCAGGACAACTATCTAAGCTTGCATTTCATTGCCCATTCATCTGGGTTATGATAGAGCTAAACAGATTTTGTATGATTTATTTGGTAAAGAACATCTTGTTGCACGAGAACTAATTATTGAGTTATTAAACCATAAATCTGTC